ACTTTCTATCTGGATCAAGTCAGATCATGGCTTCTCAACCTCAGCAGGGCTGACATTTTAGGCTGGGTGAGTGTTTGTGGTGGGGTGCTGTCCTGGGCATGAGAAGATGTTTAGAAACGTCCCTGGCTTCCATCTGCTAGATGCCAGGAGCAGTCCCCTCCCAGCTGAGACAACCAAAAATGTCTGCGCACCTCACCAGTTGTCTCCTGGGGCACAAAAAGCATCCTTCATTGAGAACCACTGATTTAGGTGCTATGTTTGAAAGTCGCTTGCATGCCCCCAAACAATTCCACTTGTGTATCCAGATTGTTCCGGGGGATTTTATTTTGATTTTATCCAGTTGAAGAGAAAATCAGGACCTAGTACTTTTTACCACTCCCTGCCCCACTAAGAGAAAAATCTGGCCCCATCTCACCTGCCTGGACCAATGCTCACTCTTCACATACCCAGGTCCTGCGATTTCCTCTGCTAGTCCTGTGCCTCTGCTGACCCCATCCTGGAATCCTCACCCTATTCCCTTGGCCCCACCCACCCTTCATGTCCCAGCCCAGAGAAGGTCAACCCTAAAGAATGCATCCCTGGTGAATCAGGACACTGGGAAGTGAGCATCGCAGTGAAGGCCAGGCGTCACATCAGCTGAAACCTTCAGCATTTCCCTGTCTGGGCATGAAACGACATGGCCATCTCCTGTGTCCACTATCTCACAATCTCAAAACCTCAATTTCCAGCAGTGGTTTTGTGTGGGAGCTCTCTGATGAGCATCTGATGGAGGACACAATATCCCCCACGCTGACAGGCAGGCACAGATAAAGAAAATGGGTAAACAGGAAGTGAGACCGTAAATGAACAGGCTGTTGCCGGGGAGGCCAGACAGACAGATGCAGCTGTCACCTGCCCCTCATGCCGCTCTCCCCTGCCTTAGAAAACCAGCACCGGACTCTTCCAGGGGTACTGTTTCAGATCAATAAAAATGACTCAATTATCCTGTCTTTCTGGGAGACGTTGGTATGAGCAGATGAACCCAAGTAAGAGCAAGGATGAAAGGATATTTTTCACAGCTCACAAAGTTGCACCATCCCTGGGACTGTTTCCTTGCCATCAGGAGATAACATTTCTGGAAAGAGAACATGCACGTGGTGATCATGTGTGGTTCCTTAATCTGCTAGAGGTGGGCTGAGGTGAGCAAGTGAGATGAGGTTAGGTGAGGTACCTGGTGCTGTGGCGTGAAGGTGGGCAGGTGGGGCCTACACAACTCCACAGGGGCGGTTCATGTGCACATCTCTGCACATGATTGCTGGGAGTACCTAGACACAGTGTGAAATCACCTGATTCTCACAAATGAGAAAGTGATTCCCTTTCACTCCTGATTGAATTACTTTATCTAAGAGAAAAATCTCATTTTGCTGTCCATAAATTTTTAGCACCCAACACTTGCTAATCTCCCCATTGAACAAAGAAAAGGCAAATCTAAGCCTAAGAGCTCTAGGCGGGTGCGATTGGAAGATGAGATCTTAGAGTTTCCTTTATAGTAGGGTTATTTAAATAATGTTAGTAATTCATTGATGTGAGTACATTATTTCAATTCTAATCAATAAAGTTATCAATTATTAATAAACTGCATGACTAAGAATGTGTGCATAAATACCTGGCTCATATTGTGGAAGTGACAGATGTCTGAAGCTTAGGAAATGCACCATTCATTGAAAGCTTTGAGTGTAGAGAGCTGTGCTGGGCAGTGATGGGCATATACACTCTCAGTAAGTCCTTGATCAACTCTCAGCAGCCTCACAGATGATTCCTAGTGCATTATTACACTGGGGAATCGAAATGATGTTTTCTGTCTGCTGCAATCAGTTATGATTCATTTACTTCTGGGAGACAGAAAACACTAAGTGTAGGCAACTGTGGGACAAAGGAGGTCCCTACCTGAAGAAGAAGTTTCCTTAACACATTTGAGGTGCCGAGTTGGTTGCAGAGAATTGCCATCCTCTGGTAGTGCATGTAGGAATGTCCGTGCCACAGATTCCAATTTTTCCTACATGTGAGAAGTTCCACTTCCAGATTGATGGAGTCTACACTCGGCTTCATTGCATCCCTTATTTTTTTGCTTAATGTTTGGGTGATTGGTCAAACTTCCTGCATTCTTCAAGTATCAGTGAGTGAATACTCGGTCACGTAGTCAAGACAGGAGAACCCTGGCAAATAGAATGATCCTTCATGATCCCTGCCCACATGAAGCTTCCAGTCTGTTAGGGGAAATGGTCATTAACCAAATATGCGCACACAAATAAGTATAAAATTATAGCTGTAATTACTTGGTATTACAGGTGTAATACAGGAGGGATGCCAGACCTTGTTAGAAGTCAGAAAGTCTTTCTAGAAGAGCTGAGGGTGGAGCTGGGAACTAAATGGGAATTAATTGGGCAAAAAGAATGGCATGAGCAAAGCCCCAGACAGATGAAGAAATAGAAGCATTCAAATTTCAATAATAGTTTAATAATCCAGAACAAATAGATGTCATGACCCTATTCATACCCTCATCATGAGTCAGGCACTTGCTGAGTACAGAAGGATTTCTGTAAGTTGACCACTTAAAAGATTGTAACTCACTACACTCAAAAGATTGTAACTCTCTCAGCATATAGAGGTGGTCAACATAAGGACCGAGGCCTTTTAGGCTTTTTCATTTTAAAAAATGTGAAAGAAGGAACTTTTTTGAGTAGGAACAGTAAAGAATGACAAGAAAGCTTATGACAGATGCCCCCACTGTAGAGTCCAGCCAGGTGCACATGGGCCTCAGGGGCCAGTGTGTATTCCCATCAGAGCATCCTGGACTCAACCAACGAATCTCTAAATCTCTGCACTTTGAGGTTTAAGAGCTTTTTTGGACAGGGTTGAATAGCTCAAAACAAAAGCATCCGATGTGGCAATTAGTCTGTTGGTTTTTACTAAATATTACAAGTTGCTTAAACAGTCAGTTATTTCGAGGACAGAGAGCGGAACTCTTTTTGAAACGTTGTACCTTGCCAGGGCCTTCTGTGCATGTTTCAACCTGGTTCTGAAATCAGAGGGTTTAAGTGGAAATGTTGAGCCCTCCCTGAAGAGAGAGAGATGAGTGTCCCCTTCTTACCAGTGACCTCAGAGCAAGGCCTCTGGGCTGAGGACAGGAAGGAATGTGATTTCTTTGAAAAGCCATCTTGACAACCCAAGTCTGCCTGGCCGTGGCACCAAAGGCAGCTTTGATCTCCAGGCCAAAGTCCCTGCTGGGAAGAGGATTAAGGAGCTGACATTAAGAGGAGGACAGAGCCAGCCGCCCCCACACTGATGGAGAGGCCAGGATGAACGGGAAAGTTGGAAGGAAGGGCGGAGAGAGAGGAAGTCTGCTCTCCTCTCTCAGTACATGAATTGAGGCTTGTTCATGTTTTCTGGGGATTTTGAGAAAAAAAAAAAAAAAACAACCAGAGCCGAGACTTGGGCTTTCTTGGGTTTGCTATGTTAGCATTAGGGACAAGCAAAACAGTCCTCATATAATCTACATGTGGGCTTCAGACCACAGGTTGGACACCCCTGCAAGATGATCTTCTGTAATTTGTTTTTCTCTTAATAGTATCTTCTGGAATTCACTTCATCTTGGTTCACACAGATCTTTGATTTCCAGCTCTCAGTGCTCCACTGAGTGGAGGGACTGTGGTTTACGGAACCATTTTCCTATGTAGGTCGTATCAAATAATTTGCAGTTGAAACTTGTGCTGCCTTGAATGATCTTGTGCATGTGTATTTTTGAATTGCCAGAGGTGTATCTTCAGGGAGTATTTTTTAAAATGAGATCCTACATTCAAAGGGAAACACAAATGTAATTTTGTTAGATAGCGTCAAATTCCTAAGAGTTGCGGCACTCTCCATATTCAATGCACCAGTACCTATAGTCTTGCCAGAAGTGTGCTACTATACTTTGGAATTTTTGCCAGTATGGTCAATGAGAAATGGTATTTATAGTTTTAATTTGTACTTTTATAATTGTGAATGTGATCAATAGTTTTAAATATTTGTAGGAACCATTTTAATATATTTTTGATGGATTGTTTCTGCCCTCTACTCATTTCCTTTTTGTTTTTTTTAATATTTTCCCTCAAATTTCAAAATTTACTGATAATAAGGATGTTAGCCTTATCTGAGGTATATATGCTGCAAAAATTTACTACTAGCTTATTGATTTTGCTTATGGCATTTTTGTAATGAAAATGTTTTTAAAAATCACATAGGCAAATACATTTTTTCAACTGAATTTGTATTTTGAGTCACAATTAGAAAGTTACTCCCAAGTTATACTTGTTCATTTTTTTTCAGTACTTAGAAAATTTCATCTTCTTAGATTTTGATCACTAGTCCATTTGAAGTTAATTCTGATGTACGGTGTGAGGTATGGATCAAAGTTATCTTTTTTTTCCCAAATAGCTGACAGTTGTCCCAGAACCATTTATGAAAAGTCTCTGTTTGCTTGAGGATTTGAGATGTCACTTTTATCACATACTAAACTTCCATATATGCTTGGATTTATTTATGGACTTTTTTCTATGGGTGCATCTATAGATTAATCTATGGATTTATTTATGGACTATTCTATTAGTCTATTTTTCTATTTATATACCAGTGTCATTACATTTTAAATGCATGCAAATTATTAATGTAAATACCCACTTTACTCTTACAGTAATTCACCAGCATTTTGTTAGGCCAAACTCTATGAAATTGCCACTATTTAATGACTATTACTCTACCAAATTTTCATCTGTTTCAACCTAATCTAAGTATATGCATAATTCATGGACCTTGTGGAGCCATTCACTGACTTACTCCAGAAGGGAGTATAAAAATTCTAGCCAGGTGGACTTCAGAATCTCTATCTCCTATTTCTAAATCGCTTATGGACCTAATGACTTCTGAGGAGCTCCTTAATAATTCTTCATCTTTCTCCTTTTATCTTCTTACCCCCCTTCTAGTGATCGAGGGCCGAGGGGTTGCAGACAGCATTCAGAGATTCTCCTCGCTGCCACCGTACCTCCCGGTGAGCTATCACGTCCTCAGAGCAGAGACCTCCTTCTTCCTAAAGGAGACCAGCCAGGACTTGCTGCGGAACTCAAGCCTGCAGTCCCGAGTGGAGTCCTTCTTCATGTACAAGGCCAAGCAGCCTCCAGTATTAAATGCCAGCTATGGGCCTTTTTCTGTGGAAAAGGTCATGCCCCTGGACTTAATGTTGACTTCAAACTTTTTAGATCCCTCCAATAAGTTTAGTTTCGACTGGAAACTGAAGGCCCACATCCTGCGGGACAAGATCTACATGAGCAGCCCCAAGGTGCAGGTCCTCTTCCACATCGTGGGCAGAGACTGGGACGACCACAGCGCTGGGGAGAAGCTGCCCTGCCTCAGGGTCTTCGCTTTCCAAGAGACCAGAGAGGTGAGGGGCAGCTGCCGGCTGAAGGGGGACCTGGGGCTGTGTGTGGCCGAGCTGGGGCTGCTGCCCGGCTGGTTCAGCCCCCCCACGGCAGGTCCCGGGAGGAAGAAGTTGGTGGAGCAGCTGGAAGGGAGTCCCGTGGAGCTATACTACACGGTGCAGCCTGGGAGTGAGCGAGGGGACTGCGCCGGGAGCGACTTCAGGAAGGGCAATGCCATCCGCCCAGGAAAGGAAGGGCTGGGGGAAACCACAGCCCACCTGCAGAGGATCGGCACTGTGGGCCTCTACCGGGCCCAGGACAGCGCCCAGCTCAGCCAGCTGCGTCTGGACAGCAATGTGGTCATCTGGCTGCCATCCAAGCCAGTCAGACAGGGAGATGTGGTCACTGCCTATGTCACTATCTCCAGCAATTCCACCGTAGACCTCTTCATCTTGAGGTAGGTGCCCAGACTGGCCCTGTCAGTCCATCTTTGGAGCCTGGTGTGAGGCTGGGCTCCAGGTTTGGCTGAGAGGGTTTCAAGAAGCGTCAATTTCCAATACCTTCAGGGACCCTTGGGCCTAACAGTGGAGGCCAAATTATGCCCCTGCCCACGTGCACTGGGCAGCTCTTCTGTGCCTTGTGGGGAAGGTGGGGCAAAGGGAGGGCAAAAACTATATCCAGAAGGAGCAAGGCTGAAGCCATCTTGTCCTTGAACTATCATCCCTTTTGAAGAGGGATGAGACGTGTTCTTTGCAGATCTGCCAACACGGGTTACATGACTGAAAGTCTGTTCAGGGAGCCCAAAGAATGGCACGTGGGTAAAGATACCTCACTGTGGGTGCACATGTAAAGAAAACCAAGAATGACACACTTTTTTAATTGGGTGAGGTTAAATGTTGCAAGTTAATGGGTGGGAAAGCCTACATTCATGAGTCTAGCTTAGCATTGATTACAGTAATGTGCCCACCAAAAAACCCTTCCATGGAGGTAGTCTCATCAAACAAGCAAACAGACAAAACACACTCAAATTAAAACAAAAGCAGAAGAACCCACCTCACTGGCTTAGCAGGTTATTACCAAAGGTATAATAGGGCTGCTCTGTCACTCTGTATAATGATGCTAAAACTTGCTACAGGAGCACCTGTTTTCTGAGGATAACTTATACTAGGGGAAAAGCCTTTTTTTTTTTTGAGACAGCCCTGGGTGGAGTGCCGTGGCATCACAGCTCACAGCAACCTCCAACACCTGGGCTCAAGCGAGTCTACTGCCTCAGCCTCCCAAGTAGCTGGGACCACAGACGCCTGCCACAGCGCCCGGCTATTTTTTGGTTGCAGGCGTCATTGTTGTTTTGGTGGGCCTGGGCTGGATTCGAACCTGCCATCTCAGGTGCATGTGGCTGGTGCCTTAGCCGCTTGAGCCACAGGCACCGAGCCAGAAAAAGTCTTTTGAAGCAAATCCTCTTAGTATGTGGACTAGAATGTCATAATAATAAAAAAATGATCTGTGATTTAAGAAATGAAGATGATAAAAATAAGGGGTTTTTCTATTATAGTCAAGAAGGACTTAAGTTATAATTGCAACCTGTTAGAATAAAAAATTATCCACATAGTGAACAAATTGCTTGGAAGAATTTTTACAAAATAGAATGATAGCATGTGATGCCATATTTCAATTTTGTTGAACCTTTGTGACTACAAAAATGGTCATTCCTAAAGGTTTGCTTTGTTTTTATGAAAAGCGTTCAGAGATTTTACTCTTTTTTTCTTGGTTAAGCTGGCCAAAGGTTTATCTATTTTATTGACCTTTTCAAAAAACCAACTTTT